CACTTCATTTCCCTTTATCTATATTTTTTCATTTCATTTCTATATTTTCCATTCTCTATTTACTAATATATTATTCACACTTTTATCTCTCTATTTTACTCTAGTTTCATTATTATATCATACATCATTCAATCATTGCCAAGAGTTAGTCCCCTCGGACTCAGTCCACTACATACATGCATATACATTTAAATCAATGATCATACACTTCATCAAACACTACAAAACATGCTTCAAACATAACAAAAACACATTCTCATCCAACATACACTCAAAATCATGCATTTCATCACAATTTTTTTCATGAATATAGACATAACAATTTATTGGTAACAAAATAGAGCTCTCCTTACCTTGAAATGGAGGTTTAGTGAAGGGTTTTTGAGGGTTCTTGCTCAAAATGTGAGGTTCTTCCTAAATATCACAAGAGACATTATTTAGAGAAGGAGAATCAAGAAAATAACCAAAGGGATGGAGAATCAAGCTTCAAAAACTTACCAACGAGCAAGGAAAGTGATCTTTGAGACTTTGATCGGAGAAAAGTTGGGGTTTTTCAAGGATTTGCTAAGAAAATGAGGAGAAAAGTTAGAGAGAACGCATGAGAGTTGTGACTTGTATTATAATCCAAGTTTCTTAACTTGAAAATCTTTAAATACCCCTCAACTCGCGACATTCTCGCTATAGCAAGCCAATTCTCGCTACAGCGAGTAATTTTCACTACAGCGAGACATTCTCTCGCTACAGCGAAAAACCAAACAAAAATTGCACTTTGCTGTCTGTCATTCTAGCTACAGCAGAGCTCCTCGCTACAGCGAGAGAGCACTAGAATCTCTAATTTTGATGCTGATTTTTTGCTACAGTGAGACACATCTCGCTACAACGAAAAATCCTGCAACTCACCCATCTAAAACTCTCCTAATTTCAAGCAACATGCATTAATAACTCACATCAAGTATAAAATTGATAATTAATAAAGTAGCGATGTTATAGCTAGAGAATGCTACTTCGCAAGCCTGCATCTAAAGCCATTCCAAGGATATAGACGAGATGTTAACATTGTATCTCCTCAGTCAGAAGAGGACTTGGATATCGAGCTAGATCCAAGAATTGATGAGGGATTTCGGATTAAACCCAGTGAAAATAAACAGTTTTTTCAACTAGGAAAACAACTTGAACATGTCACTTACCTAGGAAACAGTTTGTCCAAGAAGGAGCAGCAGGACCTTCAAAATGTGTTAAAACGAAATGCTAACTTGTTTGATTAGCCAGTCTCCGACATGCCGGGAATAGATCCTGAATTCTTGTGTCATCACTTGTCGGTCTTAAGGGGAGCCAAAACAGTGGCGCAGAAAAAGAGAAAAATTGGAGGAGATAGAGCATGGGCGGTAAAGGAGGAGACTAATAAATTATTACAACTCAGATTTATCCGAGAGGTACAGTATTTTACCTGGTTGGCTAATGTGGTCATGGTAAAAAAAGGCCAACAGAAAGTGGAGAATGTGGACTGACTTCACAGATTTAAACAAGGCATGTCCTAAGGACGCCTACCCCTTTCCCAATATCGACACCTTAGTCGACGGTGCCGCCAGCCACAAGGTAATTAGTTTCCTAGACGCATATTCAGGATATAACCAAATTCGGATGTATCCCCCAGACGAGGAGAAGACGACATTTATAACAGACTCGGTGAATTATTGTTACAAAGTAATGCCCTTTGGCCTTAAAAACGTAGGGACGACTTATCAAAGACTCATAAATAAAATCTTTGAAAAACAAATTGGGAAGTACATGGAAGTTTACGTGGACGATATGGTGGTCAAGTTCGTTTCCCTTGATAAGCATATCACTTATTTAAAAGAGGTGTTCGGTGAGGCAAGGCGACACGGCATGAGATTCAACCCAGAGAAATGTACGTTCAGAGTAGCCGGAGGAAAGTTCTTAGGGTTCATGCTTTCTAAAAGGGGGATTCAAGCAAACCCAGACAAATGTCAGACCATTATAGAAATGACTCGTCCACAAAATAGAAAGGAAGTTTAGAGATAAGCTGGCCAGATTGCTGCCCTTGCCAGATTCTTACCCACAATGGCGGAAAGATCTCGTCATTTTATTAACTTACTTAGAAAATCACAAAAATTCCAGTGGACAGATGAATGTGAGACCGCTTTTCTCCAATGTAAAAATATATTGACAACTCCTCCTATTTTACGAAAATCAAAATCAGGACATGATATGATTGTCTATTTGGCTATATCTGAAATTGCTATCAGCTCGGTACTACTACATGAAACACCTAAACCAGCACATGTATATTTCATCAACCGAACACTTCAAAGTACTGAAACGCGATACCAGATAATGGAGAAGACGGTATTGGTACTAGTTCACATAGCTCGTCGATTAAGACATTATTTCCAAAGCCATCCTTTTATAGGCCTAAATTACCTTCTTTGAGCTCATATACCATTACCTTTCCTTTCTATTTACCTATAGCCTTATAGATAATTTAGATAAATTAAGCACTACATTTGCAAGTATGGAGGGTAATAAATTATTTTTTTATAGCTCTCATATAAAGACTTGTTGAATATCATGTTTCTTAAAAGTATTTGGTGATGCAAAAGAACTGTCGTGGACAATCTTTGCATGAGTATAACCTCAGCCCTTATCCCTGTCTGATAGGATAATATATTAGAGGGATCTTGATGCATGGGAAGAACCATACTTGTTTCTAAAGGGTCACAAACCTTTTTTTTTTCCTATGCATTTTTGGGAAGACTTGATAATGGTCTAATGATTTTGGTTGGTATGCGTAACCTAAGAAAAATAAACATTTTTTATTAGATTTTTCACAAAATGATTTCTTTCATGTAATTTTTGTCTTTGTTGGAAATGTAAGCACTTGTGCAAGAAAGCCATGGTGTGGAGTTTACATTGGCTAATGAAGGATTGAACTTACAATGTCATGTTACAATCTTTGTTGATTAGACATGATGTAATATATTTTTATTTTTATGAAAATTGTTAACAAAGGTGCTTACGTGACACCCTTGACTAGCATAGAGCGTAACTGTTCTAGCATTTACTTATTTGAATGCAAATTAGCGGAATATTTAAATTTTACATCACAAATATTAATAGAACAGTGGTGGTAACATTAATACTCCATCAGGTATATTATTTTAAGGGTTACATAATATATCTCTAAAATAGATTAACTAATTCCTTAGCTATCACACTATATTTACAATATTAACAAAATTCTAGACGAAGAAAATCCTACATGCAGCCAATTGTGACTTGTTTATACGCTCTAAAAGTTTATAGACACGTCAAAATACTAAAGGACTTGAGTTACTGTCCACAGGTGACTCCTATGTATAATAAGGGTCAATGTAAAAAGCCATGCAGTATCATCTTTAATCTTGAAATTGGAATTTAAATATATTCGTATATGGACCAATAGTTTATCTTTAGATCTACTTATTTGGAAAGGTTAGCGCAACATGCAAAATAAACAAACTAATGAGAAGAAATTTTAGTGATAAAGGTTATTAATTTAAGTTCTTAATACTTTCTTATAATTCTTTTCATGTTGCAAGATATCAATTTCATGACACTATAGGAGTCATATACTTTAATTCAAGTAACGTTGACATTATACTATAAGTGGTTTGAGCTTACAAACAATGCTATTCATGTAGTTATCTAGCAAAATTACTCAAATGATCAAAGTTAAAGAAGTAGAAGATGAAAAGGAAGAAAAGTTTTAATCATTTCATCACCTTACAAAATCTTCTAATACTTTGAGATTTCTTCTTCCTTGCTTCCTTTTTCCTCCTCCCAAGCTCTTTTTGTCTTGTCTTTTGTTCTCTATTGTAACCAGCACCAAAATCTCCCACACGCTTGCTAATAATATTAGAATAAGTATGAGTGAAATAGAAATTTAATATATTGCTTAATTCTTCATACTTTTAACTAAAGTTTTCTATTAATGTGTTTACTTATTCAAACTAAATAAACTTTTAAGTTCTACCCTTGGTAACTAGCAAATCAATTCTACTAATATAATTACGGGTAAAAATAATATAATTTTATAATTATAAAAAAGTTTAAGGACTTACTTGCAGTTAGTTAGACTTTTATTTATATTAATTTTTTTGAAAAAATAACCTTCGAATTTTCATATTTTTTACTCATTTAAATTATTTACTTAAAATTAGGGTGTTAAACAAAAATAAAATAAAATAAATATTTTCAAACTTACTAACTTTTTATGATATATATTAATCTTAAGGTTAATATTAACAAAACTAGTATTTATTTATTTTTTTCTTTTGTGATCATGGTTAGCACAATGCAAAGTAAAATGATCCATGTAGAATAAAATAAAAGATAATGATTGAAGGACTTTTTCAAGTAGAGTAAAATGGTCCAAATGTATGTAACAAAAAAAAGTTGATAAAGAGAAAAATATTTAAAACTCACAACTTATACTGAAAATAGTGTCTTGTCTATGATAGCAATTAATTTTAAATAAACATATCCTACTGAAAAATGTTAAAAATATATTTTTTCAACATTTTCTTTAAATAATTACTGCAAATTCATAAATTGAGTTTGCATTCAATTTAAAAAATAAAAAACTAAAAATCTAAGAATAGGAATTAAGAATAGAAAGCTTAGTTGTTCACCTATAAGAGATGGTGTGATTATTGAACTTGTGTTAAAAATTTTGTATTTAGTTTGATATTTTTAGCAATAAATCTAAAGTTAATGGCACATGCATTACTTTTCTTTATTTGGGAGGTTTTACAACAATTACAATAGGCGCATTGTTAATATGTTAGAAACTAACCTATACCCTTGTTTTCAATTGAGAACTACAAAAGGGGTTTGAGAGGACTAAACAAAAAGGACAAGGAAGGAGAAATAGTAATAATTTAACAATGGAACAAAAATTGTCTTCAACGATGTTAATGTTTCTCTTATTTGCTACATCCATGTATGTAAGTCAAGGTGTGGAAGTTGATGCCATTTGCAAGAAAGCTAGCAATCCTTCATTTTGTAGAAATATTGTGAATTCAAAGCCTGGTGGAATAGCTAATGCAGATCTTGTTGGCATTGCTCAATATGTCGTTGATGTGACACGTGTGAATGTGACCAACACTATCAAACTAATTCACAAGCTAATTAGACGAAATGTTAACAATTCAGATGCAAGAGAGCATTATACATTATGCTTAAAACATTTCAATTATGAAACAGGTGCCCTTAGAAGAGTGGAGCTTACACAAGAGACACTGAAAAAGAGAGATTACTCATCCTTGAATATGAATGCTGTTGCAATCAACACTAACATTAATTTGTGTCTTGATGGAGAGTTACCTACTGATGATTTTAATCCTTTTCATGATACATCTTTGCTCCCTACATTTGCTGATGCTATTTCACAGGTTATTGAAATAATTATTATTGTATCTGATATGTTGTACCCTAACGTATGATTATACTGCATTTCAAATTAAATATGCCAAAAGCATCTTGTAATTTATTTCAATGTGTTTTCATAATTATATATGATTATTAATAAACTCTCATTTCATAGTTGGGTTCTAGTGCCTTTTGTGGTTAAAGTTAAATACATAGTAATGAATCAAGATAATTACCTCTTTTTTTCTACGTTTGATTAGTGAATTCTATTTGTTTGTTATATACTCTAGGTTATTTAACTATTCACCAAGTAATATCATATTAGACTTGTTTTCTTTGTTAAAGACTTTATTTAGTAACACAGGTTATAACTGAAATCATGAAGAGTTTGTAAACAAGGTGTTTAAAGAAATAATTTATATTAATAAAAAAATTGAATTTTTTTAATATTATAAATTTTTAAAAATAAATTTACAATCAGGAGTTAATTTATCCATAGAAAAGATAAAGAAGTTCATCCAACATCATCCGTAATGAATTCACATTAAGGTTGTTGCTTTAAATTAATTATACTAATTTAATGATTTTAAAATATTTATTTTATTCGAACATACATTTGAAGTACTTCCATTAAAAAATATCTATATTATAAAGCATAATTACTTTTATGATCTCTTTGTCAATCTTCATGGATCAAATTTAGATTTTTCAATTAAAAAAAGCAAATTGCATATGAATAAATATAACTAAATAGAAATTTGATGAAAAATATGAGATTTACTTAGACTAGAAATGACAGCAAAAGGGCATGAAACATAACTTACTTTAATATTACTTTCATCAATATTATCATCCTTCTCAAGTGCAAGCATACTCATGATGAGAAACTGTTTAGATAATTTTATTCTAGCACACTTGTCTAGTCATGTAAAGGGAGAGCCTTAATTACAAAAGTAAGGTTATTGTCTTGTTATCTAAAATCTATGGGTTCAAATCCTAGAAACAACTTTTGGAATTTATCAATATATCCTCAATTAAGATTTATGACACAAGAAAGTTGAGATAGAAGCAACAACAAATTCTATGAAACCACCATATAACTTTTGAAGCACATATATATTGTTTAGAGACCTCTAGAGGATGATTTAGGGAGTAGTTTAGGGTCAAGATAAAATAAATTAGAGACCTCTAGAGTATGATTTAGGGAGTAGTTGAGGTTCAAGATAAAATAAAAGACTAGAAAGAATAAGCATATTATAAGATCAAAATAATGAATTCAAGCATAAGTTTGAAATCGAAAAAAATCTCTCTCAACCAATTCAACAATATTGTAACTAAAATATAAAAATTCTTTTTCAGCATGATATTACATATAATTGATAAAATTGTCAACAAAATTGTAACAATCCATGAAATAGGAAAGCGCTATTCTAACCATTAATGAAGAACATGAATAAAAAAAATTGCATATATGAGAGAAAATATGTGTATCAAAGCACAAGCAAAAAATCTGTAACACTGAATTAATAAAACAATCTATTAGTTTAAGTGTTAATAGAACAACGATGGTAACCTTAACACACTCCATAAGTATATTATTTTAAGGGTTACATAATATATCTAAAATAGATTAACTAATTTCGTACCTATCACACCATATCTACAATATTAACAAAAATCTAAACGAAGAAAATCCTACATGAAGTCAATTGTTTATATGCTTAAAAGTTTATAGACACGTCAAAATACCAAAGGACTTAAGTTACTACATGGCCATAGGTGACTCCTATAATAATTACGCATAATAAGTAAGCTAAACTAGTCATCCATTTATCTTATTCTCTCACAGTTCAATGTCTATTATAATAAGGGTTAATGTAATAAAGCATGCAACATCATCACTAATCTTGAAACTGGAATTTAAATATATTCGTATATGGACCAATAGTCTATTTTTATATCTACTTATTTGGAAAGGTTAGCTCAACGACATACAAAACAAACCAACTAATGAGAATATATTTTATGGATGAAGATTTAAGTTCCTAATGCTTTCATGTTGCAAGATATGAATTTTATGACACTATAGGAGTTGTTTACTTTAATTTAAGCAACATTGACATAATACTAAAAGTGGAAGTTTTTACTAATATAATATGAAAAAAGAATATAATTACGTGAATGTACCGGTGTCGAATAAATTTACAAAATTAGACCTAATTACTGTAGCAGTAATTGGGTAGCCAAAATTCGGTCCTTGGGCCACTGATTCTGGAAGTTTGATTTTTGAATTTTTTTTAATATTTTTATACAATTAAATAAATTTTATTTTTTAAATTATATTTATATATTTATATTCTATTATGTGAAAATAAATAAAAATAAAAATAATATTTATTTTACATGTTTATTAATTTTTTTTACATAATTATGATAATAAATAATATTTTTATTTTTTTTATTATATTATTTAATATAATTTTAATTTTTGTAAAATGATATTAATATTATATTCTAAAATTATATTTTTGGTTATTTAATATTATTTAAAAAAATTACAATAATAATTGAATTAATTTTAAATTTGTATTTGATAAAAATTACAATAATAATTTACTTAATTTTATATTTTTATAAAATAAATAAAAGTATTAAATAATAATAAGGTTATTTATTTAATTTGAGATATTAATCTTTATTAAAATTTATACATAATTATTTATTTAAAAAATATGTTATTAATATTAATAAATGTTATTAAATAATATTATGTAGATATATATATATATATATATAATAATAATAATAATATATTTAATATAAATTACTAATACTAAAATTTATAAGTTGCAATGACATTCATAAAATTAAAAATTACATGAAGAAAATTTTAAAGTAATAACAATATCAGAAATCAATGACGGGAAGTAGAAACTTGAACAATGTTTAGACATGTCTTCCTTGTGTGACCAGGGTGTGACAATAAGAACAATTTTTTTTTGTCAACTTTGTTATTCTCTAATGTCCATCTCTGTCCTTATCCTACTAGACTTGGGTCAACCCTTTGAAGTTCTTTTCAGTTCTGGATTTGGACACAAAGTTGGGCTCGTGTAAGTTGGCCAATAGTCTTCATGTTTGAGTTCTCCAAACTGACCTTCGTATACCTTAGAAACTTGTTGTAAGGTATACACGGGAGATATATAGATGTCAAAGTTGTGGTGTGTGTATAAGCATGAAGCAAGTACATGCGAGCATAGGATGTGAACTTTTTGAAACTTGCTACAATCACACCACATTTCATCTAACTGTACTGTAAATCTTCCTAGGGTCAAATTTCTGTTGAATGTTGCATTTCTTCGACTAAAAATCTAGTGCTTGTTCTGTTAAAGGTGATGAATCTATGAGTGTTTGCCTTTGACTGTGCATCTTGAATTGCTTTAGTTGCAACCTCCGAGTACATATGTCCAGCATTAATCATTGCATCTACTTCTCTGCCTCTGTCAATGAAGAACTTATTGCAACGGGTGTATGTTGCCAGGACCATAGAGCAAATTGGCAGGTTTCTGGTTTTCTATAAACTAATAATTTTGTAAGTTTAATTTGTTAATTCAAAATATATTTTAGTATTTGAAGTACATAATAAAAATATAGATTATATTAAAATATAGTAATAATTTTAATTTGTAAATTATGAAAAATATTATAATTAATTTTAATAATAGTAATTTAAGCTAATTTATAGTATAAATATTTATGTTGCCGTTTGTAATATTATATAACCATCAATACTAATAAATATTTTTTAAATACAATTCAAACATAATAAGTGTGAATAAAATATAATTTTAATTTGTAAGTTATACGTTTCGAATTTTAATGCACAAAGTAATAAGTAAATGTAGTCAATGCGAGTGATTTTATACATTCTGAATTTTAATGTATAGAGTAATAAGTAAATGAAATTACATATATAGAAATAATTTTTTATGTTTCAAAATTTAATATACCTAGTAATAAATAGATGTTGTCAATTTTATACACACATATATATATATATATAAATAAGATTATCTTATTAAAAGTATACTTATCTAATGGTTAACAACTATTGACATAATAACAAATGTACTAACAATTTATTCGAAAAATCTTTATTAAAAATGGTTATATTACATAAAATTGATTAATTGAACATGGAATTAGCTTACACATTCAAACTCTATTTGGCAGGTGAATTTAAGTGGAGGATACTATAATGCAGGAGAAAATGTGAAATTTAATTTTCCAATGGTATTTACCACCATAATGTTATTATTGGGCACACTTGAATTTAGCAAGAAAATGAGACCTTAAATCAAGGAAGCAAGACTTGCTATTTGTTGGGCCACAGACTACCTACACAAGTGTGCCACATCTACACCACGTAGGCTCTATATTGGGGCTGGAAACCAAACGTGGACCACAAATGTTGGGAGAGGCCGAAAGGAATGAACACTGTTAAAACTGTGTATTGAGTCTCTTCCAATAATCCTGGTTCAGATAATTAATCTAATGTTGCCCTTGCAGCTTTATCAATTGTCTTTGGAAGGGTCGATACCTGTGCAATATATATATATATATATATATATATATATATATATATAGAGAGAGAGAGAGAGAGAGAGAGAGAGAGAGAGTTCACATTCACTCACATAGAATATTTAAGGCATGATACAAACCGCATAACAGGCAACAAGTTATTAAACAATGTCTAAAAGCTATATCATACTCTACTATGAAAATTATTATATAGTAAATAGTTTCTAATAACCCATTTCAACCATTGTGCAGAGCAAGTTTACAAATCCTTTTTCCAATCAAATATAGATTCAGCACCTGCATGTTGGTCATTGATGTACTCATATCCAAGAACAGAAAAAAGCTTATGCCTTAAATTTATGCATATACATATTGTAAATTGTCAGTAAAATAACATATCTAGTATTTTTCAAAATTTAAAAGTCATATATGAAAAGATGAATCAATTACTAATCTGGGAGGCCACAAATTTGATGAATTGTCCTTAGATTTGAAAAAATCTTCTCTCTTTTATCATCTTGCTCTACCCATACATTTTTTAGTACTGCTATTTGAGACATTGTTTTTAACAAAAAACAATTAGCTAGGAATTGTATGACTTAAAAATAGCATTGAAGATATGCAGTTCACCCAAGTCTAGTATGTAGTAGAGGCAAGCAATTAGTAGCCAATAACATCATATTTTCTGACAGAGCATATGTAACACAACAAAGATACTCAAGTATATAAAAGATCAGTGTAATAAAATCCATAAATTTATTATTATCAGTATCTGTTACTATTTTCTTTTTCTGTTGAGAATGCATGGGATCAAGTGTTACCTAATACCCCTCAAAAAGAAATATACAATAAAAATCTTCAAGTTGTATAGCAATAAAAAAACCATGGCATAAATCCAAATAACACGGTTTTTCTAATGCATGCTCAATGGCACACAATAATAAATAAATGAATAACAAGTTTTTATTGAAAATTTTAGCATTTAATGCTATAAATACATTGAATCTTCCGATATCATGTGATTTTCAATAAAAATTTACGATATACAGGTTTTTTATTGTGTGTTGTTGAGCATATGTTAAAAAAACTGTAAAACTTAAATTATAAAATAAAACAAATAAATGAAAATATCATATTAATACTCTGAATTCTTCATAAGTCTTTTGTTTCACGTAAACGCTTTCCAATCACTAACCCCAAACATGTAATTGATTCACCAAATGACCTAAACCAAAGATATTTAAGGGCAAAACCCTTTCTCCAATACATAAGATTAAAAAAGAGACTAAACACAATCATAAACTAACAGTCATAATCTTATCAAAATTTGAATAAAAGCAGCTCTTTGATTTTGATTAAAACCAAGTACTTTAAGTTATAAAACTTTAAAATAAAACTCAATCTTGTGAATTTCTTAGTATTTTATACAAAGCAGTTTTTATTAACTGTTGTTTAAGTTGATGCTTTAAAAGTTAATTTCTAACATAATGCACCTTTTATTAAAGGAAGTATCTTTGTGTTATCTGTTGTAAATGAGTAAAGAAAAAATTAACAGTCAAACACAGGTAATCTAAGTCATCATATTAAATATAAATTAATGCTCATTACTCAATAAATAAATATTGATATGTACATCTAGCTTTCTTTTTGAGAGGTCTTCTAGTAGTAGTAGTTCCAGTTGATTTTGAGTCATCAGTCGTAAAATCCTCTTCATATTTGTCATCATCATCAGAGCTCATATCTTTCAAACCACTAAAACCATCCCCCCCATACGAAACCATCAAGAAAGTCAAGGAATTGCAGATACAACCTTAACAAAAGCACAACTGAAAGATGAGGAAAAAAAGTGCAGACACACAATTTCAAGTATCAAAATCCTGGATGTCAATATTTAGTTGTAAAAAATCAGCCCAGGATAATAAAAAGGAACAGGTTCCATAGCACTAATAAAATAGAAACAAACATTAAAACACTAATGGATCAGTTGAATGTATCATGCACAAACTAAAAAGTGCTTGCTATAGAATCTATAAACTTGAAATGGCATTTTATACTCTATTTAAATTAATAATTATGATTCTTTTAAAATCTTAAAAATTAAAGAATATTTATATTTTTTAAAAATAAAACACTAACTTTCACTATCTGTTATATATGATTAACATAAAATTAACGGTAATAATTCTTCTACATGTGAGAGGACATAGAATGTCCTTTTAATTTACAAAGGCATTATAGAAATTACTTATAAAATATTCTCTCATTGATTAATACAGCATAAACACCAATGCAACATACCGGTAATTTGTTGCGGTTCCGCTTCCCTTTGCCAAAGGCATTACACTCTTCAAGTCTATGTTCTTTGTAGCTGTCTCTTAACAACTCTTCCCAGTAATTTGATCTTTCAGAATTGCTCTAAAATGATTGATTCTCCTTCTCTCTTTTTTGTGCCACCTCCTCTGCACTTTCAACATCATCAATATATTTAAAATTTGCCACCTAGAACATATATAATCCATTTAGTCAATGAAAAGCGAAGAACCCAAAAGAATGAGAACAGAGATTATGAGCAATTATCTGTTATTATAATAAAAGCAAAATAGATTTATAGGTAAAGAGAGGAAGGAATAGAGGTTGAATTCTCTTCAAACAAAAAATTGAAGTCATTATACTAGCTATTGTAGAAACATTGCAGAAAATGGTGCTTCTGGATCATAGTAGTCAATAGCGCCTACAGCGGCCGCTATCGCGGCGGAGCGGCGCAGTTCAGCGACGGCGACCCTGTAGCGTCGCGTTTCACTGTAGCGGCGGTAGCGCGAAAATAACGGCCGGAGCGGCTGCTATGCCATTCCCTGAAATTTTCGGTTCTGCCCTTTGTTTGTTACCGTTGGCCCTTTTAAGGGGGCAAGCTCGAAATTTCGCCCCCCTTACGCAAAACTCTAGCCCTCTCAAGTCATCTCTCAACTCTCTCCGCAGCTCTCCTCTGTTCTCTGTTTTTTCACGTGTAGCTTTCATCTCTCCGGTGAGGCTTCTACCAAAACAGAGACATTTTCTGGTCATTTTTTTTTGTCTCCAGCGAAACTTTTTAAGGTAATCCGAATTATTTTGAGTTATTTTCTTCATCTTTTGTCATCTTCTTCAAGACACCACAACTTCCGACATCTTTCAAATACTTTTCAGTCATTTTCTTCAACTTTAGCGAACTTTCCATTGACTGAACAATTGTTTTTTTTATATTTTTCTCTTTTTTTTTTTTCATTCTCTGTTTTGATTCTTCTACTTTGTTCCGTTTCAAATTTCAAAGTAAAGTAGAAGCAATGACTGCTCCTGCACCCTTTGCTTTTTTGTTATTTATTTCCTTCTCTAATTTAAATTTTCTTTTTTTGTTTTTTGTAAATTTGTATATTAATTTTATTTTTTTCAGTATGTATATGTCTGTATTAAAACTTTAGAATAGCAGTCATGCCGCTACCGCTATCCCGCTATAGCGTTTTGTAGGTTGGCCGTTCCGCGCCGCTATCCGGATTGACTACTATGCTTAACAGTTTCTACTTTTAGTCTTAAATTTCTCAAAACTTTTGCTTTTGCAGGAATGGTGGGTTTATCACTTGGAGAAAAACATTTCATACAAGGTGGCATTGCTCAAGATCTTCGTTGTGATGGCAGAAAGAGATTGACATACCGACCAATCTACGTTGAAACTGGAGTCATTCCCCAGGTAATGCTTTAAATGAGTTGGCATTTGGCAGTGTATTCTGATGATTTGACCCTGATGGACCATCTGAATTTTCTTGCTTTAATTTAATATGTGCATTTGATGAATTTCATGGCAGGCAAATGGCTCAGCAAGAGTCAGAATGGGTGCCACAGATGTCATTGCCAGTGTTAAGGTTTGTTAAAACGTTGGGATTGATTTCTCATTTTGTTCCTTGTGATATCCTTTTGTTTAATACTATCCAATTTTTTTATAAAATAGAATCTGTTCTTTTACTCACCATGATATAATGGAAATTCAGGCTGAACTAGGAAAGCCAAGCTCATTGCAACCTGACAATGGAAAAGTCTCTATAAATATTGATTGCAGTTCAACTGCTGAGCCAGCTTTTGAGGTTGCATATTATTTTGCTTTTCTTCTTTCCCTGTTTAGTGAAGTCATCTGTATGTTCTGGTTCATCCTTTTCTTCATATAATTCAACTTTGAGTACCATGAACATTGATAGCAAAACCAAAAAAATACATTTAAACTCTTTAAATGATGTAAAATGGTGCATTGGATTAATCAGCTTTAGACTTTCATCAATAATAGTGTTTTCTATTATTGTAATGCTATTTATCATTATTGTTTCATATATACCTTTTAATGCTTCAAAATATTTTTTTTTGGTGCTCAATCTTTGCTTGCATATAGGGTAGAGGGGGTGAAGAATTGTCAGCAGATCTGTCATTTTCTCTTCAACGCTGTCTCTTGGGTGGTAAAAGTGGAGCAGGTCTATCTTCCTCCTAGAGTGAAGACTATGCTTTACTATCGTGTATTCCCTCTCATGTTCCCTCTTTTTGGTATAACTGTTGAGCTCTTGGCCCTTGTTCTTTTCTCAGGTGCTGGAATTGACCTCTCCTCACTGCTTGTCATTGAAGGAAAACTTTGTTGGGATCTTTACATTGATGGGCTTGTTGTTAGTTCAGATGGAAATTTGTTGGATGCTCTAGGTGCTGCCATCAAGGTAAAACTTAAAATAAAAACAGAGTAATATGCTAGAAATGCTGAAAAGATGACATGGATGGATTCCTGGCTAAAACCATTAGCATTTTGGGGGCCATCCTTTTGTGATGTGTCAATAATGTTTATTTTTCAAGTTCTTTTTCGTTAATCATATTTTAGCCATTGATGTTGCAAACATGATATTTGAGATGTTTGAAAGATGTGATCTAAAACCACCACCACTTCCCTATTTTTAGTTTAGCTGTTTTAGGAAATGGTTAGATGTTACCTGAAACTATTAGTCTTCTCTAATTGTTTCATTAAGCTATGAATTGAAAAAAATTCTTTTACTAGCTGTTTTCTTTAATCTTTATAAATATCCCAAACGAATTTGCAATCAGTTTTGTGGAGATTTACTGCATGGATTTCCTTTTCTAATAAGGAGTTGAGAATGCAAAGCTATATTAAGAATTAACTGGAAAGTCACGATACAGCTAATAACTATTACTCTTTTAGGCTGCCTTGAGCAATACGGGTATCCCAAGAGTCCAAGTTGCTGCTGGTGCATCCAGTGATGAGCAACCAGAAGTTGATGTAAGTGACGAGGAGTTTCTACAGTTTGAGACATCTGGCATCCCCGTAATAGTTACACTGACTAAGGTAACATATAATTGTGGTATTCTGTCTTCTCTATTATATTTTGTGATAATTTCATACAATCTCGGCTTTCTAGGTTGGGAAGCACTATATTGTGGATGCCACATCCGAAGAGGAATCACAAATGAGCTCTGCTGTTTCTATCTCTGTTAATAGGCAAGGCCACATCTGTGGTATAGCCAAACGACGAGGTGTGGGACTGGATCCAAGCATCATTCTTGATATGATATCTGTGGCCAAGCATGTAAGTGAGCAGTTAATAAACAGATTGGATTCAGAAATAGCTTCTGCCGAAGCTGAAGAAGAGTCATGACAGGTGATAACTAGAATGTACCTTAAACTTAAATTGTGTGGTTGACTTGGACAAAAGTTTGTATCATGGTAACTCTCACTTGATAGGGATTAAAGCTGTTAGAATACTTCAGCAATTGTTATGTCTTCTGAGCAATGTAGCCCTGAATTTAGGTTTTTGAGTGGTTGTTTTGATGCCGTGCTAGGTGTTAAGTTGCAGCTACAGTGACATTGCTGACTGATGTGGTTTGCAATGTGAGGAATAGGATGAGGTTTGCTATCACAGGCTAAATGCATTCTCCATAGTCACTGAGTCAAGTGTCAATCTGTAGCTGATTTGGACCAAAGATTTAAATCATTTATGCCATGTACTTCGTCATTCATCATATCTTTTTAAGCTTGCATGGGTAGTAAGTCTTGGAAATTTATATGAAATATATATATATATATATATATATATATATATTTTGGGTCAATAAGAGTTGAAATCTTTAAACTGCGTTAATGCAATGTCCTTGGTACGACATGCTTTAATCTAAATCCTCGAACACTTTATCCTTTCAAAACTATAGGGGTACTATTTCGTTCGAATAAATTGTCACAAAATAAAGCACGAAAAAATAAAAATAACCATACTTGGTGGGGTTCACGTAAATTGATGTTTCACTGTAATTACACTCCATTCATGTTTGTAACCTGATATTCATCCCTTCAATTTTCACGAGTTGGTTTTGGTACCAAAGCCAGTCTCCTTAATTATTATAATACAATAGTTTTTCCCTTCCAAAGAAATTCGTTGGACAATTACAAATCAACAACTGGAATGGAACATAGAACTGTAGAAGTTTTCAATTAATGCTTAGTTCACTAACACTAATGAACCACACAAAGATTATTGAATTACAACTTTGTACTGTTAACTTTTTAAACACTATCACGACCCCAAAAAACTTTTTAACACTATAATATTAATTTTGGTGTTACCCAGATTATTAATGAAGCAGAGAAGGATATAGTTGTTCTACATGATTCAGGGATGGCAACTCCATCAACATATTTAGAAGTGATAACAATGTGGTTAGTGCGTAGTGGTGTATGTGCAAGTGGTAAGTGAACGAAATTTGATGGGCCAGAAAGAAGCACTGATACAAACGAATTTCAAAATGGATATTGCTAGGGAAACTATTGTTCTATCACCCTATGTACATAATATTAGAAAAAAATTTAACCTTTATGAAGTAGTATTTCTTAAGACACTACGGAGCCACTTTAACTTGTTTATCCTTCTGTAAATAATGGATTCTTTACGGTGGATCTTTACAAATTACAATACCGCAGAGAAGTATACTCATTCTTATTATTAACAGTTGGCACTCTCATATTCCTTTTGATGCTGATAATCTGTATGATGCTGAAAGATTTGTTTATTTATTTATTTATTTATTTGTGTTTATTGTCTAATTTAGTCCAATTATTTACCACTGCAATTTCTAATCCAACTGTCACTCTATAGTGATTGGAATCCTCATGCTGATTTGCAAGCCATGGCCAGAGCTCATCGACTTGGACAGCTTAACAAGGTTGTAGCTTGTTTTTCATTAATATGCAGTTGATAGTATTTGGCTTGAAATGTCACATACTAACAGTAGTTCTTGTGTTATAGGTGATGATTTATAGGCTTATAACAAGAGGAACAATTGAAGAAAGGATGATACAGATGACAATGAAGAAAATGGTTTTAGAACACCTAGTTGTAGGGAGGCTAAAGGCTCAAAATATTAACCAGGTGAATAGTCATTTTTTTAAAATGATGTCACATGTTGTCAAAACTGATGACAACAGTTTTCGGTGCCATTGCCAAACTCACATGTATGTAATTCAGATTGCTTAGGTGCTATTTTCTTGGTTCTTTTTCTTATTATTTTTAAATAAAAAACAATGATATTGACAAAAATTACAGAAACTTGATGTAAATGGATGTGGACTAGTTGTTTAGCATTTGGTCTTCTGTCTTAGGAACAGAAATCTCTTCTTTTGTCAAATGAATATTCATATATGCTCTTCTATAGCCATCATCCTAATTACCATTCACTGTCTTGTTTATTTTACCTTCTAGTAACATTATTGATAACATGTTGGTATTATACTATTATTCAATATGTTTGAACTGGAAATATCTGTGTTAGTAAATAGCTGCCACAGCAGATAGTGGTGGTGGATATAAGGGAATCTGCTGCCAAAGTGCAGTGGCCTGGTAGCAGTGGCATAGTAACAGTGCCATGGCAGAGTCTGAAGATGAACAACGGGCATGTCATATTCAAATTTGGTAAGGTTGAAAATAGGGTTTATAATCTTAGATTTGGTTTGAAACCTAAAGGAGACATGTTACTGAATAATATTAATTTTTAAATTTTAAATTAAAAGATCATCTAACAATAATACAAATATTTTTAAAAAAAATTAAATATAAATTTAATTTTATATATTTAGGAGAGCATTGTATCCCTACTTAATAGTGAGAGCACGGTAGATTTTACCCAGTAATATATGGCAAGAGTTAGAAAATTTTCTTACTTAGAAAAATATTTTAATTTAACTTAACGTTTTATTAAATTACGGGAGCATTTAGTAGAGAAATTCTTTGAGTTTTTTAAAAAAATTATGTTGAAAATTTTAAATTCTTATGTTTCGTATAAATATTTTTTATAAAAATATTTTCATAAAACTAACATTTCCAGGGATTTTTTTAATTAAGTTTATCAAGAAAAAAAAATCCTAGATGAGAATTTAAGATTCTCGTGAAGGCGGAGTGTATATATATATTATTCAATATTTTTAAATTTAAACCTAATTTATGTTATCTTTTTATTTTGTTATTTTCTTTTTAAAACTTCAACTATTAAAATTAATTAACTTAGGTGACTGTTACCTAACACAAACACAAATATTTAAAAATAAATTAAATATATTTTTTAAATTTTCAATAAACATAATTAAGGAACACATAGTTTTAAAAAACTAACAAGACATTCCCTAAAAGTAGAAACATAAATTATCTGACTTAATTCAAGTTTTAAATTTTATTGAACAAGTTATAAATATAATAAGATGCATGTTGAAGGTCAAATAATTGTGTACAAAGTATTGGTAATTTTTTATGTGATTTGTAAATTAAAAGGCATGTAGAATAATTATAGTCCTTAATTTTATATTAAATATGTATAATAGATAATGGAGATTGATAATTTATTTTAAAAAATTAATCTTTAGCATATTAGAGGAATTACAATTATTAATTTTAAAAAAATATAAAATGTTTTAAGTTTACGACAATTACTAAAAATAATAGGTAACTATAATGTATATTTTGAATAAATGTATAATAAATATGTTAATAACACAACACTTACAGTTTATTTGGATAGATAGATGAAATAGGGTTGAAAAAAAATATTAAAAAAATGAGGGTAAAAAATTAAGTAAAAAAAAAGTATTATTTAGATAGATAGAATAAATGAAGAAAAATGAAAAAAAAAATATTTCCACTTATTTAAATCAATGAAAAAAGTAGAAAGAAATAATAAAATTTATGTAAAGACATTTTTATTCTTGTATCTAATGAGGTGTTTTTATTTTTATTTATTTACTATTTATTTCTTTGAAATTATTATATAAATTAATATTTATAAAATATTTACTACTACTACTACTATTATTATTATTATAGAATATTTATTATAATATTTTTTTAAAATAAAATATAATGTTTTACTATGATATATTTTAAATATTTGATCGAACAAAATAATAACAAAGGTTAAAAGGAAACTAGGACTTATGGTATAATTAACGCAAAATTTAGAAAGCTTATGAGCATAGAAAATATTTAGACGAATCCCATTATATTTTTTATTTCAACTCATAAAACGATAAATCATCCGAACAAAGAGAAAGTTAATATTTTCACTCTTCAGTTCAATCAAAACAAAAGCATTGAACAAGCTTAGCGTGAATGAAAGACTATCATGGTGAAAAATGTTTTCTCACAGTTACAACACAAACTCAAAGACTAATCCAATTGCAAAGGAAATGTGTATCAGTCAATTATGTGACATCCAACAAAGAAGGAATATGAGAATGCGATGATCCTCAAAAATCCAAAAGAATCCCATTGTGATTTGAGACAATTAAGAAACCCAAAGTTTGAGGTGAACAATTTTTTACATTCTAAATACACTGAAAGTATGTCATAGATTTACATCAAGATCCCTTATTTATGGGAATAGTTGATATTTTTAGCACTTGACCAATTAGTAAGTTGTTCACTAATGGCGGATTAAGTTTGTCTCACTTGTATAATAAACTATTAGAAAGATAATACATGACAAACCCATAAGAGCTCGCTCAAACTCTTTGTTTGGATATTTTGATGTATCAAATCTATACGAAGAGGATAGGGGAAAGGAACCTTTTTTTTTTAATTGTTTAAAAACTTTAAGTTATTTTCTTAGAACATAAAATATAAAATACAATAAATAAGTTTATATTAAAAAATATATATAGCAAAAATTCATAATTTTTAAATTTAAATTAATTTTTCTAATTAATATACTTTTTATATTGTTTATTTATTTCCTTCTATTCTATTCTTCCCATCTAAATAAGTGAAGAAAAATTCTCTTTTTTTTTATTATTTTTGTCCATTTAAACTACATATTTTTTATTCTATTTTATTTTATTCACGTTCTTCATATTTCTTTCCTTCTTGTTACTTTTTTTTTTTTTATCACTTATCGTCTAAATAGTTAAAAATTTTATGAACCATGCCGTTAAATCAACCTATCTATACAAATATACCGCAAGTCTATCTAAGCTCAATGTGAAGTAATTATAACTCTCTAACGTGCTATTTTTAATACACTTTTAATTATTAATTACAATTTATTAAAAATTATGAAAATATGTATCACTTTTTCTTACTCTAAATTCAATTATTCTCTGATAAATTTATAATTTTTAATAAATTTTAATCAATAGCTAAAAATATATTAAAAATGAGTGTTAAAAAAATTATTGAAGCAAAAAATACTTTTGTACTCATTTATAAATTTTTCTATTTTATTTAACATTTATCTTAAAGTACATAATATAATCAATTTATATTATTTTAAAATTTAAAATAATTTGATAATTTCTTATTAATTTATTTTATAATTTAAAAACATTTAATTATAGTGTTTTAAAAAGTGATTCAGGTATCTAAACCGCTTAAATTTAATTTACACAAATTCAATGGAAATAGTAAACATAAACAGCACATATAAACTAAAGAATAAACATCATTACTTCATTAGTGGAGCAAAATGAACTATACCAGTGATACAGTAGTATACCTTCGAAAGTTTTAATCCACATAAAATACACTAGCAAAATAACCTTATATCACAGAATATCCCATGGTAACTTAAATTGTATGAGTAGTGAGTGCACTAGCAGGAAGAATACATCAGAAAAAGAATATGTGAGATTGCATTTGTCAAAACTTCACACACACAAAAAAAAAAGGAAGCGGAATACAAGATTGCTGATGGTCAAAACTAAACTCAGCGCGAGGACGAGGGCATTTCCCCCAAGAGAATCCTCCCAGTGAAAAATCCTGTAATAGAAAAGTAGCACATCAAGACTTCAAAACACATAGTACTACAAGAAGTCACATTACAAAATGATAAAACATCAAGCTAAAGCACAACAAAGATTGAAGGCCAGTGCGCCAGACCACAAAAAAGAGACGACCACCTATTACAATATGTCAAACTCAAAAATGCCTAGTAACAATTCTTCTGCTTCAAAGCTAGCCATGAAGTAAGACAAAATATATTCAATTTGACTCATTCAACTTTCTTGCTCCTATGGCCATTGGATTAGCAGTTCAGAATTCACAACTGAATGGGGAAGAAAAAGAAAGTCACTCTCACCACTCGTCTTATATTTAGCAATCACTAAAACAACCAATTATGCCCCACCCATTTATGAATCAAAAGATGGGAGTTTCTAAGGTGCCTTCTATTTTGGTACCTCTTTAACTCTTATACTATTTGACCATAATTATCAATGCCAGATAGCAGTGCAGAGTGGCTGATTCCATAACTGCTGTAGTGGGGCAGAAAATAACAGCATGGCCACTATTATGAAATTCGTAGATATAAAATACAAATTCATGTTGAATATATATAATGCTCATAAATAAAATATTTACCCAAATAAAGACATTCATAATTAATAATAGAAAGTCATAATTTTAAGCCAAGCACAGGTGGATACCAACAAGAGTCAAGTAATACTGAAAAAAAGTAGCAAGAAAAAGCAACAAGTCACATATCTGAACATAACAATTAGAGAGAAAAAGAAAATGACACAGTGACATACTGGAAGAAAAGAAAAACAGAATCAAGATCCCTCATTGATGTGAACAGAGCAGAGCCCATAGGATGTTAATAGAATAGAGACCACATAGAACAGGGTGCTAAAGTGCCATTGTGGGCTGGCAGAAACACCACCAGAGTGCCACAGGTTGGGAGGAAATACACCTGAGAGTTCTGGGTCAGATGCTTGCATTGAACAAAGGGAGACCCGTGAGAACAGTGCATGATTTAGTTTCTTCCAAATCCAAAGGGTTTTGGTACTCTATCAAATGAGGAAACGGAGAAAATTACAAAACCACCCAAAATAAATTGTGTCGACAACTTTCACTTAGGCAAAGAAGGTTTTTTAGCTCCCATGTAACCAATCATGGGAGCTAACAAAAACACTCTAGAATGCAGAACCTGCAGCAGCCCAGGGATGTTCTGCTCCAGCACAGCAATATGGCACAGTGACACTAATAATAACTATGCAACTGACCATTGAATTGGATGTTGAGATTCATAATTCATTCAACAATCATCCAACAGCCAACCAACGTCAACTTTACCAGTTAACACAGAATTCTCCATAAAAAATGATTATGCAACAGGAAAAGCATCACACCAAGAGAAAAGGATTTCATTAAAAATACCAAAATCTACAGGCAAGATCAGAACCATACCGCAATAAATTAATCCTCTTCCATCGGTACCTCTGGAATGTCAAATCTATCTTCTTCTATAGTCTTGTTTATCACATATACTGGACTGGGTAAAAGGTTGTCAAGGAAAGTGTTTGTAACACAGAAATATTTATCACAATCATAACAGATATGGTTCCCGGCAAGTTATAATTAGACAAGCGCTATATTTTAAAACAGATACATGCCACTTGCACCAACAATTAACTACTATTAAATTAGTCAATATTTCAGAAATTTAAATGGAAAAATAAAGGAGAAACAATCATATTTTTTAGGTAGTCTGAGCCTTTATATCAACTACTGCAGTATCAGCATATATCTTCCTGGAATTTCTGCTGAATGGAATGTTATCGAGAATGTGCTACCAAGGGTTAATTGTTGACTCCAAAGAAAATCAAGACATTGAGCAGGGGATTCTGAATTGCTAATTGGATAAGAGAAAATTCAGCCTGCTGTGTGAGAGACAATTCAAAGACTCTTATATAATTAATTAGCGATATTATCTGAATTTTATTTTCTAGCGATCTCAACATTCAGAACTGGCATGCAACTCTAATCTTTACCTCAAGCCTTCCCTGATCCTCCAACATGAAATGCCATGCAATATGTATAAGCCTTAGGTAAGAAAATAAGGGTAAAGAAGGATAAAAAAATGAAAAGGATATATATTGACATAAGATCTTCCTCCTTTTCACCTCGATTGCGGCTGTGGTTTAGCTCTCTACTAATTTCAGGTGTAACCTGCAGAAAGAAAAATTAATATCAATCACAACCAGAAATTTGAAATACAAGAGAAGCAACCCATCAGATATAGTGCTCTCACTAATTTATGCTTTTGCTTTTCCAGTAGATCCCTTAATCTATCCTTATCTTCCTTCTGCAGCTCATTTTTGTACCTGAAATATCATACAAGAACAGCTAAATATTAGAAAGCCTAATAGAAAATTAATCATTGCTATATCACGCTCATTATTAATGCTTCACAGTATTCATTGATGACTATAGCAAATATACTTAGAATTACTTTCTTTGCTCTAAATCTGAGGTGCTTTCTGTATTTCAATTTCAATAGTTTGTAGCCTATATTGAAACTCAATTTTCCACAATGATCAAAGTTCTCTGCTCTGATTCACATGGAGAATATATGTCCCATGAGTTTCATGATTTACTTCAACAAAAATGCAGTCTCTCAGTGTTCTTGCCCTCGTAAATGTAAGAAAAATTGTCTTGCAGAACAGTATTAGATGCTGTTCTTACATTATTGCAAGAGTCCTCAATTCTTTCCACCTAAATTTTGGGTCAAAGCCTTATCTTTGGCAGTCTACTTAATCAACAGATTGCCCTCCAGTGTTTTGGACTTTTGACTCCCTATTATCATATTTATAATTAGCATCCCAATTATCTTGACATGTATGACTTTGATTGTGTTTGTTTTGTCCACTTGACTCTCATGAATGCAACAAACTATCTGCTCAACAAAGGATGAAAAAGTAGGCAAATTTACATGGGAGGGGGGGGTCTATGAAGTGGGAGAATGGGTTTTCCTAACATTTTGGTCGCAGACAACCATCTGTAGAACTAATTCAAAGTTGGCAGTAAGGTACTATGCCCCAATTATGGTGTAACCATGTAACAAAGGATTAGGGAGGTCACAGATAAATCAAACGTACCAGAAATGTCAACAACACATAATTTTTCATGTATCACAGCTTTAGCTTGCCATGGACAGTAATGGACCTTAAGCTGAATTTCCAGCAGGGTTTGAGATGGATTTTGGTGACTGTACTAAAACCAAAGCTGTCTGGGCAGTGAGATAAATACATAAAAAGGGGTGGCTACTTAGCAGTGGTTAATTCATTGGGAAAACAAGCCTCTGAAAGAAGATACAAGGGAAGATATGGAGGTAATCAATTGAAGAGTTTCCTGATATACGCCCCAAGGACAAGGCACTACTTGATGGGGGTGGCAGTGTTAGAGACCTATGGTCCATATAGAGAAGTCAGTCAGCTTATCTAATGATAAAGGGCCCACAAGTGGTAAGTGTACGCAAGGGATCCAAAAGGTATTAGGTACAGGATTGTTGGTAATGGGGAAACAGACTATGATTTAAACTTAGGTATTTAGTTATGCCACAAGGCTTATGACCTGGGGGGCAAGGAGAGAAAGATATCATATTGTTTCTTGTTATGCTGTTACTTTGGCCAAGAGGATAACTTTTGTACATCTGTGGGGAGAGCATTGACTCAACAGAGGTGGACCCTTCTAGGGAAATCCTTATTTTTCGTCCATTTTTCTCTAGTTTCTCTTCTTTAATTCAATAATACATACAATTCCATTATTCAAGATTTCTTTTCCTGGTTACCATTATGTTGACTGTATTAGAAACACATATCAAAGAATTAAGGCAAAGGGCGAATCACTGACCTTTGCACAAATGCAAGAAGAGACTGGTGCCATATAACAGGCATTATCCTGGTTTCATTGAGAAATCTCATAAAATGAGCAACAACTGCATCAACCACACGGTATGGCAAAGCATATTTTTTCTCCACAAGAAGCTTTATAAAATAACTGCAATTATTATTATTAACATTAGTATCTATCTCATACTGAGGGGGAAAAATAAAGAGAGCTTCATCAAAAACAATTTATTGTGCTGTATTGTTATAAATTATCAAATCAACTGATTAATGATTTGTATGAACTGTAATTTTCAGTAACTATTCTTTATCATATAAATGGCTAACTTTAAATACCTTGTGGTGCCACAATATTCCATTCCAGCAAGCCTCAACAGTGCAACACTGTACACACATCCAGAGGTTTGGGTGCATCAGACATTGAATATGACTCAAATAATTCAAACCTTTATTTTCAATCATAACATAAACACGTGTGCAGTATGTATCCACCTCTAGCTGTAACATTTTAGCTTTGAGCAACAAGAATAGTAAACAGAAAGACTTGTCTTACATATTAAGAGAGAATTTAAAAAAAAAAAAAAAAACACTAAATTTACTAAGTTCTTATTTAAAATAATTCAAGAAAACTCTATCCTATTAGTAGTGCAACGGGAAAAAGGCTGGAAATCCAAGCAAGTGACTACAACATTGAAAATGAAAAAGAATGTAAGCAATGCATTGGGTGGTAATAAAGAGATATTTTCAAATAAATATGCACTACTTATTAAAGGAAACCTGGCTATATCCTTTCTCCAAAATACTAAATGCTATGACTAGGGTCCAAGAAACCAATTCTTAACTACTGCACAAGAAAAACAAATACTTTCCATGCATCCAATTTTCAATTATGATTGATGCAGTTAACATACCTTGAATGAAGTGGAGGAATTGAAACCTTTTCTATAATGCTTCCAATAATGACTGCTTCCCTGAGAGTGCATGTGCGTGACTGTACATGGAAAATATTGTCAGACACCAAAATGAAAAACGAACAAACAATTGAATTAGTAAATCTTTTTCAGAGCACATATGGTTTGTGTAAACTAGAATAAAAAGGGTTAGATTCCCCTTCAGTGAATAAATTCAAATTATGATAATCATCAAAGGAAGTCCTTCTAGTTTCTTAAATAAATAAAAGTAACTTGTTTGTCACTCTACAAAATATTAGAGGAGGTTGATGACAATTTACTCAAATAATACTGAAGCTAATAATTTCAGTACTTTTTAAGTAATTTGTAAATATTTGTGAATGTGACTAAATGAAATGGAAAATGAGCAGTTTCCTGCATATGTGCAAACTCAAGTTAAGAGATAAGGCATGCCCCAGAATCACAGAAGCGTATTCTATCTGCCATGGATAAACAAATCACTCACAATCCATCATAAATAAAACTGATATCATCTTCTCTAATTCATTTACCCATTCCATGCCTATGTTATTTCATAATATATTATCCAAATCCAAAAAGGTTTATAGTTAGTGTATGTTTTGGTTCAGCTTATTTTGAAGAAATAATAGCTTACTTTTGACAGCTTCCTGAGATAGCTTTTGAAAAACAAATGATCATTTCTTCATAAATAATCATTTCCAAATATGCACTTAACTTTTCCCTTCTTTATACCAATAAATTATGACATAGAACATCAAAGATGACCCTTAAGGGTATGTGAGGCATCAATTCATCAACACCCAATTTCATGAATTTCTAAAAACATTGTATATGCCTTTCGTTTCAGGCATCATACATAGTTTAACATGTTCCAAAAGCGTAAATACCTAAGAAAATATCATAAACAGAATCTAAGAAAATATCAACCAATGATTAATTTGGAGCATCAAAAGGTAAACCTATCTTGAACACAATCAAATACCTCACATAGTGGAAACAGTATTCCCTTAAAGAATGCAGCAGGTTTGTACAATGCCTTTTTCAGTGTTTGGTATAAAGCAAAATGCAGTCGCTTGTTCTTCCTTATATCTTCCCTCACTCTTGGAAGCAACACAAGTCTGTAGAAGCGTTCTGCTTTTTTGGCACCAAAATTAGAAGCAAAAATCCTAGTTGCTTGATAAAGGGCATTTGGAGACCAATTCTCAGGTTCAGTTATATACAAGACCTCCTCCCAAAGTTGCATAGAGGGGATGTGTTTGAATGCCTTGGGTATTTTGCCAACCGTATATCTGCTAAGATGAGTACCAACCCTGCAGTACGAAAGATGAACAAAGCAGAGGTTGAGGCCTGATAAGAAAACAACATTTTAACCTAAACGGAAAGGAATTCATCATCTAATCTGAATATTTCAAGAAAATAATTAAATTGGAAATTGTAAATACCCCTTGTATATGTCAATTATGGATTTATCCAATTTTGGTACTGGTCGATTTTCTGCACACAGAAAAATATCATAAAAAACAATAATGAATGAAATAAAACCTCCAAGTAGGGTGAGCATGATGAGAATACCGAAAACCACAAAACTGAAAAAAGGATAAGGAAAAAAATGCAGTCAAGAATTGCCTGAAGCAACAGAAGCATCCTTTTCTTTTATTCTTTCAACAATGAGGTCTGCAAGTGTTTTCTGCCGCCGACCCTGCTCCTTGGATAAGAATGCTTCCATTAATCCCTCATCCTCCTCATTAATCTCCTCCTGAATTTCAAAGAAGAACATAGAAGAATCAAAATAACTACCACAAAAATAGACAAAAAGGGTTCAAGTAATGAAAAAATAGAAAAACTAAACCCAAAATTGTTCACTAACATAAATAATCATAGCTAATGACTTTTTAAATTTCTACACATAAGAAACAGTCCATTGAAAAAAATCTTGAATTCTCAACCTATTCCATATTTTGGGCCAACCAAACATTTCCACTCTCATTTTCTGTCATCACAATTACAAAATTGTTGCCTTGTTTTCTTTTTTTCCTCTAAAAATCTTTTTATCACAGAAAAAATTTTAGGAGGAGGGAAATGTAGGAGGAAGGCCTCTAGACTCAAAACACTTCAAGAGAACTTACATTTACTTTTTCCCAAGGGGACTAGTCATACACTTGACCAATTCTAAGAAATTCCTGTTCTTTATCATTGAAATTTTTAAACAAATAAAATTCTATCATATTTTATTTCATTATTTTGTTTAACCAACAAGATACGATAATTCTATCCTATGGATTTATCACATCTAGGTTAGAAATAGACAAAATAAAATAACACAATATATATAGTCGATTATGTCGACATGTATCAAACGCATAATAAAATAAGATCATATTTAAGAGTGCATATGAACAACTTATGGAAAACCACTTATGACTTTCATAAGCTTTTGCAGCTTATTTTAATAAGTTTCGAGGTACAATTTATCAAAATAAATTGTTCTCAACTTATCCTAATAAATTTTATGGTCAAGTTTACATCATAAGTCATCATTTAAAAAGAGTTAATTAAATAAGCTGAGTATCCAAATGCACCCTAAGAGTCTATCCTACTATAATCCTATCGTATTATCATTCAACTCTCATACCATATTTTTTTTTCCTATCTTATCATATTTATCAAACGGCCATAACATTAAAACAATCGTGGGCTGTGTGAGCGAGAGAATGAACTCACATCATATCCAGCGAACTGGCTCTGCGTTTCAGAGAAGCCAGCAAAGTCGTCAATGTCATCATCGTCCTCGTCCTCAGCCTTTGGAACCTCTTCGACTCCAGCGAAGAAACTCTTGGCGCTCTGATGCACGTCTTCGTGTTCTTCTTCCAGAACCTCCTTTTGCTGAATGAAAGCCTCTTTGATGATCTTGGAGCTGATGTTGGAAGCGATGAAGTTGTCTTCCTCTTGGTGCCGTTTCGGAGGCTTAGAACGTTTCTTCGTCTTGGCAGAATCAGCGCCATAGGGATCGAACGCTTCAGGGTTCTGAATCCTCTCCTTCTGCTTCCTCTTCGCCATTCTCGGTGTAGCGGCAAACTCTGCTTCTGTTTGCTGTGTGAAAGGGAAGAGGGTTTTAGTTTCTCGTGCCAAGGAGACTGCAGGAGGACAATAATAAACCCTACTCCTAGTTTTTATTATGATGGATTATGGACATGATTTAATTCAAGATAAATTATATTTTATTTTTTATTTTTCTTTTGCTAGTCATAAATTATATTTTATTTAAGAGCTTGGGCTGGTACCTATTTTATACTTTTTCTATTTTCTATTCTGATTAACACTTGTGATTTACTTAATATTTTAAAAATAAAAAATATTAATATTTTTTTAATAAATCACTAAATTTATTCATTAATCTAAAATTAATGGTCAAGATTATTTTATATGTAAAAAAAATATTAAACTCTCTTAGTTATAAAAAATTTTATAGCTTTTATTTTTTATTTAGATTATTCCGTTAAATTTTTTAAAATAAATCAAATTTTATTATTATTAAATAAATAAATTTTATTTTAATATTATTTTTTAAATTTTTTTATCTTTAAAATCGCATTTTATAATCTTTTTGAAATGTATCAAGTTTTTACTAAATTTTTACCCATGACTTTTAAAAATTATTTTATATCTCAAATTCATCTTAAATATCAAATATTTCAATAAAAATAATAATTTAAGACTTAATTAAAAAATTAAAGAAGCAATTAAATTACTTAATTCAAAAAAATTAATTGGTTTAAAAACTTAATAAATAAATAAATCTTACAGAATTTAAGTTAAAAGTGCAAAATTAGCAATTAAGCTATTTATATAATAAAAGTATTATTATATACTTTAATAGCTTTGATTTAAATATATGTTGATGTAAAAGTTTTTAACATCTTGAGTCATATTAAGAAAAATAATTGATTTACATAATTATTAATATAAATACCAAATTTACAATGCATTTTAATTAATTAACAGTATAAAAATCTGTACAAATATGTCAAAATTAAACTGATTCTATATAATATATATTTATATATCAAATATGTCTACAATTAATAATAGAAACTTTTTTCCCAAAAATTTATTTTTGCAAACATATATAATGATTTTAAATTTTTAAAATGATATCATATTTAGCCTAAACAGATTAAAAATATTTTGTTAAAAAATTATAAAAATTGAAAGGTTGTTTAAATTTTAAACTTTAAACTTTATAATAATATCATATTAAAGTAGTTAAATATATTTCTATTTTTTATTATTTAATTTAATTTTAAAATAATTATATTTAAATATAAAAATAATTATTTTTAATGTGACAGAAAGATAAAAATTGTTAAATGAAAATTTTAACTATTTTTTAAAATAAATTATATATAAAAAATAAATATAATGATTAAAATTAATTTATATGTGATTTTAAACATTATAAATTTTAATAATAATAATTTAGTTATAAATTAGTAAATATATTTATGTGTTACACAAATTTTTTATATTTTTTATTAAATTATTTTATTTTAAAATAAACAAAAAACTGTAATTTAAATATAAAAATATACAATAATAAAATTTTATTATATTGAATAATATCAAATATAATTACATTGAAAAATATCATAAATACATTTTTATATGCAATTTTTTATATATTTTATATATTTAAAATTTTCAATTAAGATTTAAATAGAAACTAAAATAAAAGAATGATTTTATTGAATACAAAAATTTATCCTTCTATCAATTAAAGTGACACATGGACTATACAAGTGTATTGAAAGATTGAATACCAATTAAGAAGAGGTTGATAAAATTATAATTGAGCTAGCCACGTACAAAGAACTCATGAAATATTTGGTTTGAATGTAACTATAATATTAAAGTATATTTTGGCTCCTAGTTAGTTTAAATCAAAAGAGCTTGACGATTGCAATGATTGATTGATTTAAGAAATGGGAGTAGGAAAAAATAAGGAACTTGCTAAAAAAGAGTTAGTCTTTTAGGACAACAATTTAACTTGGGGAGTTGTTGTAGCTACTAGGTCGAAAAATCTACTACCTATACTAGACAACAAACAAGATTAGAGAAGAAAGTTGTTGCTAGCTCTATCTTTAGAAAAAGGAAAGAATGTTATGCAAGATGAAAAATAGGAAATGAAAGTAGATGAAAAAAGCTAAAGAGGAAGAATGCATCTACCGAAGTAGTAGTAAGGAGAGGAAAAATGAAGAGGGGATTATCTATCAAAAATAGAAAATGTTTAGATTATGGGCTAGGAAATCACTTTTAGACTTTAACTTTATTATATAACAATATTTTTTTGTTTATGTTGAAGTTTTGCATGTGTCTAGTCTTGACTTTTGACAACATGCTATAACTCTGAGAGTGATAGTATGTCTGTTTTTTTGCTCCACGACAATATGATGATGTATTTTTTTTCTTATGCAAAACTTTTTAGATTTGTATTTGTAACTATATTTTAATTTGACAATACATTTTTCTACTTATGTGAATTTTATGACAATATATTTTGTCTAATATAAGACTTATGTTGTCGTGTTTTACATCTTTACTTGGAATAATGATTATGTAATTAATTTTGACAATTTCTTGATCATTATATATATAATTTTGTGTGCATGACACACACACATATATATAAATGTATTATGTATCATAAAAATTTTAATAACATACATCATGTTATACACTATTTCACTACAGCATTTTTATTTGCTGTTATCCAAGATTAATAACTATGGCTAGCAAAGAACTTTAATTTGTTAAAGAGAAATGATAGCAACACACTTTATAATTTTTTTATTTTTGTTAAAATTTATTGAAATTATAAAAATCTTATGAATCTCACTCTTTTTTCATTATTAAATTAATGTTTCTTTCACATACTTTTATAGTTTTTAGTAAATTTTAACGAATAATAAAGAGTGCATTGTTAACATTCATCTTCTATTAAATAGTACCTAAAACTTATTGTAATCTAAGTTCTTCCTCCCTGAAATCCACTCCAAATTTGACAACATTAATATAAATTATTACTTGCATGTATTTAAGTAAACCAAAAGCATGACAATTAAGGAGTGAAGTGGCAATTAAAATCACCAATAAATGAACAATCAAACAATAAATTGTAGATTAATGTTTCTCAACCACACTTGAATTAATACAAAGAATAACACTTGGCATGGAGGTGACATATTGATAAGCAAAGCTTGATTCAAAATGTCACAAAATTTTATGAGGTAGCAAAATCAAAGGTTGCATTAACTTCAAATTACGTCATACAATATGATGAAATAACACACATGCAAGGTTTATAGATTCAATACATGGATGAATTCTATGGTACACCAACGTTTGAAAAGGTTAAATAACTCTGCAGATGTGGATCAATTAAATTAGTATATGTAATAATTGAATCCCATGTTGACAATTAATTAGAGAAAGGTCCTTAATGCTTAACAAACTTGATTGAAAGCAGTAACATTTAACCCTAACTTGTAATTACATAGTTTTTAGAAGTGATAGATTGTTCCAATTTTATGTATTTTGATAAAGTGTTAAAGGAAGGTGAATGATGAACTAAAATGTGATGCCATTTGGTGAAGAATGTGGTAGAAATCAATGTTGATGATATATAAATGTAAAGGCTTTGCAATTGTTGTAGAAGATTCAAAATTGTAACCTTCGTGACATTCAATCATTCATAACAAAGGGTGCTATATTTTGGAGTAATGCTATTTAGACACCCATTTTAGGTGTCCATACATGACACTGTATAGGAAAAGAAACCAAGTATTAGGTTACACCAAACTTATTCTACACACGCGCACAAGTTACCAAACTTCATAAAAAAAACTTCTTCAACTCTCTCGCCCGATCATGTATCCTGTTCATTTTTTTTAAAAGGAAAAAAACTTCTTCTGATAATTGCCCAGTGGCCTTTCCTTCATTTTCTTCTTCTTCTTCTTGAACAAATAAAATAATAATATTTGAATGACTCTTGCCCTTGTTCATATTCTTGAATGTCCTTTTCTTGAATGACTCTTGCCCTTCTTCTTGTATGTCCTCTTCTTCACCGTTGTTTTAATTCTTCTTCAACAAAAAGAAACTTTTCTCACTTACGCCCACTATTCATTCTTCTGTGACTCTCTCACTTGTTGTTTGCGGCCTACTCCTTCGTATATGTGTATTGGCTCTCATTCCAGCCTCTGTGTTTTGAAAGCTTGAAATACTGGTTAGGCATCACTCGCAGCATCAAGTACTTTTTCCCTCTTCTTCTTTGCATTTTTCACAATGTTACGGGTACAGATAATGTTGATGAGTACTCTGAATTAATTTTAGATTCCTCTGTGGTGGCCTTATAGACAACTGACACTTAGTGAATGTAGGAAATTTGACATAGTAAGTTAGTAATTTTTTTACCTAGGTTCTGATAATTTAGTGTATAAGCTGGTAATTCTTTAGGTGCGTTTTGTATTGATGAGTAATTAGAAATAATTTTATATTCTGCTATGGTGGCCTTCAAGACAACAACATTTAGTGAATGTAGGTAATCCAACATCACAGCTAATAATTTTTTGTCCAAGATACTGGTAATTTAGTGTATAAACTGGTAATCCATCATGTCTATAAATTTGTCTCCTACTCCCACCATTAGACTGGTTAACATATTGAATTGAATATAATACAATGGTGTATACTGTAATTCTGAGTAATATATTACAATTAAAATGATAACAATTTTTCCTTAAGTGAACTATATATAGATGGTAATTGACCATAAAAAGATAGTAATTCAATGTTCAAAGTGATAGTAATTGATTATAGAAGCTGGTAATGTTGCAGTCCGTACACATAATTTTTTTCTAGTTCTCTAATGTGTGTTACTAAACTTAATTAATGGACTTTTTGTATATGTTAAGCTTAATTTGTGATGTCCTATTTTCTAGGTTGTACAGGATTTAGCTGACACAGATTTATCCATCGACATGGATACAATCAAATCGCACAATAGTCTTCAACATATTGTTGAAGAACAAATTCAGAATCAATACTTGCCTATTAGTATTTTCACAGTTTTTATACAAG